TATATATATATATATATATATATATATATATATATATTGCTGTCCCATTGCCCTAGCCACCAACGTGGGATATAGGGACCATTGTCCTATAATTCCAACCCCGAGTAGTGGAACCTCGGTTATCTGGTTGGGGCCTGGCCAATAGTGATGATAAGTCATGTAAAATTCCACCCACAGTACATGAATTAAGTTCTGGGTGGAGAGCATACTTGTTCTGGATGTAGTGTGGTTCCCCAACTACGGTGCCAATCTTCAATTGACACACCCATGATATATGCAGATGCTTTCTGTATGGATAATGCCCTCACCATCCCCTACACCTTCTCCATGTGGGATTCTGGCTATAAGTGTATATGTATGTATGTATGTATTGGAAGTTAAATTTTTTCTAAATTTAAAATGTATTTCCAATAATACTTACCTCCTTTCACACTCTCCTGCCCTTCCTCCCCACTAAGAGTCGGTGTTAGAGACTGGGATGGAGTCAGTCTCGAAAAAATGATTGCATTATCCGAATGAGGTGCTTATATACAGTAACAGGATAAAGGGTGCATTGACGTAGGTGGAGGGTGTCACGAAATAAATATCGCCAAGGGCAGTTAAATGGGGTATAAAAGACTGGAGCAAGCGAGAAAAAATCAAGACAATGTAAACATGTATATATAACTTAACTTGATTTAAGGGATTTGTGTTGATTTTGTGTTGCTAAAGTTTGTCGGAACGAAGTTACGGAAAATCAACTAACGACTGGAGGCGTAACAGTAAACATGTATATATAACTTAACTTGATTTAAGGGATGGCATTTATAACAATACTTAAAATCATAAATTCTGATGACCATGTACCTAAAATGGTGCTTTCTTTTTATAATCATAACAACTAGTATATTATGCTTTTTGTCGCTTCCAAAACTCACCACGATTTATTTTTGCAAGTGTGAGTTAATTAACATTGAAGTATTATTTGAGAATTGCAATTTTGATTTTCTTAAACATATGTTAACAGAGTAAAAGTGAAGTAATATGTACTATTTTAAAATATGTACAAGGAAGTTGTCATGTAACTTTATGTACGTGAAGTAGGATTTCATAGTTGAGTGATCACATAATGGTAAAATGTTATGTACTGATATGTATGATTAAAGAAATATTAGTAAGCATTAAGAGTTTCCCTTTTCTTTAACTTTATACATTATTAAAAGTTTCTGATAATGAGTTACTCCTCTTGCTAGGCTATTCTCAAATCCCAAATTATTATGTTCCTTGTTTGCTTTGATTTGTATCCTAAGTTCTAGGTCAGTAATGAACACGATAAAGTTCAATTTATGTATATTTCTAGATGTCCTAATTACCAACTTTTTTTATTTGTCATGTATTAAAAGTTAAGCTTAACACAGTTGTAGTCTAATAAGGCTTTATTATGAATTATCTACAAAAAATGAATGCCTTTCAAATCAGCATTTTAGACCAGTAAAATGTGATCGTCGAGATATTGCCTCTTTTTTTGTGTGAATTTTGTCTTCCATTGTTATTTGTATCTCTTTGTTCTGTTCCTTGCCATTTTGTTCCTCCTATTTTTTTTCCTCATGTTCATCAGATAGTTGCTGACCCAAGGCTGCTTCTGTGATTTTTTTCATCCACCAGAGACCATGAAAGACGAAAGACTAACATTCCATCATTGAACATCTTCATCCAGTTTCTTTAGAGAGTGCATGATCTTCTAAACACGTGTGGTACAAGGAAGAGACAGAAGGGTTTTAGACTCGGTGGACAAAAGTACAGGGAAAATATGGGCCTTCCAACTATGATAGTATGGAGAGAGAGATTCTTAAACTTCATAGCATAGATGCTATCCCAATGGTTTTTGTAGTCAGATGCACTCTTTCTAAGTTAGTCAACTGTGTAAAAACAGTTTGGTTATCATTACAACCTTTGAAATTGGCCACAGCTACAATGAGGTCCCATGCTGATTTTCATTCTTCATCAACTAGGTATACTGCACTGTAGGCTGGAGTGATAACATGCTGGTATCATTCTTGGATATTCTTCGTTTACTTCTCATCTTTTG